ACTTGATATTCTCGGCAAAGTCGTACCCTGTCAACTCATCGCCGCACATCCCGGTGATGTAGTCGAGCTTGCCGCGCTGTTCAAACACAGTCTTACGGCTGTATTTCTCCGGAATGAAACCTATCATGTCTGCTGCCAGCTGAACGCTCTGCTTTGTCATGCCTAGGAGCAGGTGGAACTCATCATTCTCGGACGTGTCGAACAAACTGCTGAGTTCTGGGCGGGTCCTCATTTCCTGTGTGTCCAGGCCGGAATAGAACTCACTGACCTCGCCCCTCACATTCTGCGTCGGGTGGAACATTCTGGAAAACCAGCCGCTTCAACGCCGAATTTTGCTCCGCAGCCCACCGAAGGTCCAAGCGACAACTGCGCGCGGCGATCGGGGCGCTGGCACGCTACGAGAGACCCGACCTGGCACGAAGAGAAAGCGTCCTGAGGGGAGCGGATCCAGGACCCCGGGGCCTTCCCCCAGGACCGACGCTTCGCCCCGAGCTACTCTTCTCTGACAGTCCCTGGGCCCGTGGACTCGCCATCGCTCGGACGTCCATTCCCTGTGTTTTTTTGTTCGGTTTCGAGCGTGGTCTTTTTCGCCAAATGGTCAAGGATGCTCCTCGATGGTCCTCGCCGAAGGAAAAATGCACTAGTCCGAGCGATGCCAAGGACCTTCCCCCGGGACCGACGCTTCGCCCTGAGCTGCTCTGCTCTGACAGTCCCTGGGCCCGCGGAGGGCCCTTGTTGGAGGCTACAGACGGCGAAAACACTCAGGACCTGTTCTCCCCATGGCGAACACGACCGCTCGCGTGGACAGCCGCAGCCGGCGCCCGAGCGGCCCTTGAGCCGACGCGGCTGCGCGCCGACCCCGGGACCTCCGACGCCGCGATGCTTGGGCGTTGCTTTAGGGGGGGGAGTTGGGGGGGGGGGGGCGGCGACCAAGGGGGGGGCGGGCGGCGGGGGAGAGAAACGTGACGTGCACCGCTCGTGCCTCTTTTGGGCCCCAGCCGAAATTCTGAGCTTCCCGTTGAGGCGCCGTGCACACTGTATCTATTAGTATCTATCTTTTAGAAATAGACGCTTTTAGAAATTCTCGTGCTCCCGCTGAGGCCTGGTGGTCATAAGATCTAAACGTATCTATTTCGGACAGTGTCTAAAAATATGTTTGCGTATCGGCTGTGTTGCAAGAGTTCCGTGTCTATTAGTGTCTAACTAGTATTTATTTAGTATCTATTTTTGAGCAACGGTATCAATCTTAAAACACGAAGTGGCGACCATAGTAGAGCTGAGAAGACCAGCTTCAAACAGTCCACGACATTCAATCGAAGGTGGCGTGGATGTGTGCACGTGAACGCCTGCATGGGCCTGTATGCATGTGACGATGTGTGCATGCGTATGGGTGCGCGCGGAAGTGTATGGCGTACGTGCTCGCGCGCGTGTGTGTGTGTGTGTGTGTGGGTGTGTTAGTGTTAGTGTTAGTGTTAGTGTTAGTGTTAGTGTTAGTGTTAGTGTTAGTGTTAGTGTTAGTGTTAGTGTTAGTGTTAGTGTTAGTGTTAGTGGTAGTGTGTGTGTGTGTGCGTGTGTGTGTTAGTGTGTGTGTATGTGTGTGCGCGTGTTTGTGTTGTGTTGTGTTGTGTGTTGTGTGTGTGTGTGTGTCTGTGTGTGTGTGCGTGCGTGCGTGCGTGCGTGCGTGCGTGCGCGCGTGCGTTTGTGTGTGTGGAGGGCCTTGAAGGGCCCCAAGAGGGCGCCTGGGGTAAGTAAACACAAAGCTTCGAGTCATATACACTGCTGAGGCCCTCTTGGGCCCCTCTCGGACCCCTTCTTCGGCCCTCTTGGGATACTCAGGGGGCCCTCCGGGACCCTCCATGAATCTCGAAGGGCCCCTAGACGGTTCCAAGAGGGCCCGAAAGGGTTCAAGGGGTGAAAGAAACCACAGCCTCGAGTCATGTACACCGCTGGGGCCCCCCGAGACCACGCTGGAGAGCCTCGAAAATGCTTTAAGAGGGCCCCCACGAGGGTTCCAAGGGGGTCAACCCCCAGTCGAAATAAAGGCACGCGACCAACTCGCCAACTCGCCATCCTTCCTCCTCCTCGTCCTCGTCCAACTCGCCATCCTTCCTCCTCCTCGTCCTCCCCCTCCTCCCTGCTCCTCCTCCTCCCTGCTTCCTCCTCCTCCACCTCCAGTGCCGTCTCGCAGGGCCCCAATAAGGCTCCAAGGAGGGCCCAGGAGGAGTCAAACCGAAGTCACGCGAGTGCCCTTCTTGGGGCCCTATTGAGGCCCTCTCGGGGCCCTCAAATGCCGTTACGGAGAGCCCCAAGAGGGCTCCAAGGGGGCCCCCCAGAGATCTAGGAGTGGCCGTGTGTCTATACATATATATATATATATATATATATATATATACACACACGCACACACGCACGCACGCACGCACGCACGCACGCACGCACTCACGCACGCACGCACGCACGCACGCACACAGACAGACAGACAGACAGACAGACAGATTGACAGGCAGACAGACAGACAGACAGACAGACAGACAGACAGACAGACAGACAGACAGACAGACAGACAGACAGACAAACACACACACACACACATACACACACACACTCACACACACACGCACATCCCTTAGGGATCCTTAGGGAATCCTCCGGAATCCCCGAGGAATCCCGCGGAAGCCCAATCCTTTGGGAATCCTTCGGGATCCCTGGGGAATCCTTAGGGAATCTTTCGGGCACCCTTAGGGAATCCCGTGGGGAATCTTTCGGGTATCCTAAGGAATCCTGTGAGAATCCTTCAGGGATCCTTCAAGAATCCTGAGGAATCCTTTCTGGGAATCTTGAGGAATCCCTAGGGAATGCTAAATAATCCTCAGGAAGCGTTAGGAGATCTTAGGGAATCCGGAGCAATCCCGAGTGAATCCTATGGAATCCCTTGGCCTTAGGACCCCCGAAAGAATCCATTGGAATCCCTTGAAAGAATCCATTGGAATCCCTTGGGGTCCTTAGGGATCCCTAGGGAATCCCTATGGAATCCTTAGGGAATCCTTCGGAATCTGTAAGAATCCGCCAGGAATCCTTAGGAATCCCTAGGGAATCCTTTGCAAGCCTATGGGGGAAAACCTTAGGAAAGCAAGCGGAAATCTGTAGGAATCCCTATAGGGAATCCTCAGGAATCCCTCGGGAATGTTTAGGACTCCCTATAGGGGAATCCGCAGGAATCCTCCGGGAATCCTTCAGCAAGCC